GCAAATGCCCTGTTCCGGAGATGAAGAGCCACCTGAAGTCGAATCTTGGGAAAAGAATCATGAAACTGAATATATTTCATTAATAGTAAAACAATATATGTGAAAGTGTTACGTTACTTTCGTTACAGATTTCTCCTTGGTATCCTTCCTGACATCCATTCGAACACGTCCCATTGAACTGATCACAGTCAGTGTTGTGACGACAAAGTCCGCAGGTCTTATTGCAGGTCAATCCCTGATACCCAGGTTCACAACCAGAGTCACATGATCCGCTGAACGGATCACATGCTGTATCATTACGACAGTGGCCACATATCTCCCCGCAATTGCTACCGAAGGTTTTGTTTTCACAAGCTAAAGTAAAGTAAAGTGTGAAGCTTTTACTATATAAACAGTCGTATTATGCAGTATTATTTTGAGGAGTTTAATTGCCAACATTTGAGGAGTACTTCCATCTCGGTTTGAATTTAGAACAGCAAACAGAAGCGACACTCGTAACTGCGAGCTCTAACGACAACGCCTGGGCGAAGAGAAAATTCGGACTACTGCACATTCATTCCATAAAATTTTTTGCCGCAGTAATTTTGACCCACAATGCATCGCTTCGTACACAAACGCTAAAGCCACGTTCTCGCGAGAATAACGACAAAAGTTAAAAGAAAAATAAACGTGCTTTGATTTAATGAATTTATATGTTTATTGCAGAAAAATAATCATAAACTGATTGAAATCAGCCCTGTTCAGACTTCAGTTTGGTAAAGCAAGACGCAAACGACGTCATATGACGTCAGAGTCTTATACGCACCGAATGTCACGTGCGGTTTGATGAGTCCAATCTAAATGAAAACTGGATAAGTATCTGCGCTTGCCCTAACGGTCGCACCGTCAACATATTAAACGGAAATATTATTAGTTACACAGTCAGTTAGTGACCTAATACAGATTCATACAGGGTGTGAAATGGAAATCCGTATTGGGCGAGGTGAAGCCGAGTCCCAATACGGATTTCCATTTCACACCTTGTATGAATCCGTATTAGGTCACTAACTGACTGTGTAACGAATTTATCCCGCTGAAGACCTTTTTCGATATAAAAAAAATATTTGTGCATATTATGAAAATATTAAGTTTTAATCCAATAACAATCAACATAAAATATCGTTACGGTAACAAGAAATTTAACTAAACTACCTACGTTAACCGTTTCTTAGCCGCCATTTTTACAGGGACGTAGCAACAGGGGGGGCCAGGGGGGGGGGGGCTGGCCCCCCACTTTTTTTGCCAACAATACTTATACTATTGAAAATGTTCTTGAAAGGGTCGTTGGCCCCCCCACTTTTCACAAAAGCAAAGTAATATGAAGGAAATATAGTATTGTAAGATTTGAAAATGGATACTAAAAGGAAATGGTAGTGCCCCCCCCCCCCCCCCCCCCCACACACACACACACGAAATAGGATTTTCGACTTTTGGCAATTTCTTTTTTTTTGCTTTTTTTTTTGCTTGTCAACTTTTTCAGGTTAGTACAAAAAAATTTCTGTGGCTGGCCCCCCCCACTTTCAAAATCGATGCTACGTGCCTGTTTTATTTACAATAACAACGCTTCGAACGGAATCGCGTGCCCGATTTTCATATTACGCCTCGACGGAGACGTAATATGGAAACGGAGACGTAATACGGAAAATTTCAGGGCGTCATGTGATCAGCTTTTATCCAATCAGCAATCGACAAATTTGTCTGAAGCGGGATAAAGATTATTATTATGCTTCCTGTCAGTTTGTCTCTATATAGCCCATACCCTACTATTCTCGCATAGTGTTCTAAGGATTTATATAGCGTAAGCATACTATGCCGAAATAGTGCACGGCTTCCATTTCTGAGGAAAATCCGACAACGCCCATGCCTGGGAGCGAACTCACGACCCCGAGATTGTGAGTCCGACGTGCTATCGATTACGCCACAGACGCCGTAATCTACAGTAATGCACTGTAATATATATAAACTTAGTTTCAAATATTTTCAATTAAGATTAAAAATAAACAAAATAATTCTACTAAAATAGTTCCTTGCAACCCCCCTTCCTTCACTCAAATACTTTTCTCTAAAACTATCTGTAGATTATACCTAAAGCATGGAACGTTCAAAATTAAAGAAAAAAGATTATGACGTACATGTTGCACAAGGTGACGTCATAATAGAGTAGACGAATGTAACAGGTGATGAAATATTGGAAGTGGAGAATATATTGCAATTTTATACAGTAACAACAGTCTGCAATAATAATATACATTTATTGTATGATAGTGAGGGAAATATGAAGACTTATTAAGCCAAGAAATATCATATTCCCCGAGGGCTTCGACCGAGGGGAATATGATATTTCTTGGCTGAATAAGTCTTCATGTTTCCCGAACATTCATGCAATGAATTGTTTATTATACCGAAACTAGCAAAACCTTTGAAATAAATATAAACTTTCAAATTTGGCACCGCTCTCAAATTCACTTTTATTTTTCACGTAAAGTTACTACAAAACCCACATTATCATTAGTTTTGTGACGCAAACCAGGCTATTGTGACGTCTATACTTCTCTCGGAAGTTTTCGTTCAACGAACGAGAACTATATTGCGGGAAAATACACTTGGTGTTCCGAAGAGGTGGAATATGATGAAAAGCGTGCCGGTGGCAGGGAAAGATGAAGTTTTACGGCCAGATCACGTGATAACTTAGAACCAATCAGATAAAGCGTTGTTTAGAATATTTATAATGAGGTATAATAATAACAATAGTGTTGTGTTTTGCGTGCACTATGCGTAAATAGTAGTCAGGGTTTGACACTCGCCTCCGGCTCGTGCACCATGTGTCAAACCCTGACTACTATTTACGCATAGTGCACGCAAAACACAACACTATAAATAGAAATTATGACCCCGTGAAAAACACATGTCTACAATATTGCTAATAGTACAGTTCTAATCTAGCATGATAACCTTAATCGAAAACTTTAGAAAATGCTTATACTTAATGAATTTGAAGAATATTTTATTTTATTTCAAGTCGTTTTGAACAGTATTAATTTTATGGAATATAACGTAGGTATGGTGCCATGTTTTAAAGTGCTCTAGTCCAAAGTCAAATTTCTTTTGATAATGAACCTTGCAATACGTTTTTGAAAAATACAAGTACAAACTTTCGTTGCAGTTTATCCCTTGATATCCAGCATCACAGCCCTCTGCGCATGCTCCGCTAACAAAGTTACATCCTGATCCGTTCAAACAGTGCCCACATGTGTGCGAACAGTTTTCACCATACGTCATGGCCATACAATCTGAAATCAGAGTCTCAATCGAATGTCAATGCAAAAAGATACCCTGTGAATTCATGTATTAATACAGAACTCATATACTCGAAATCAAAATGTTGAAAAAGTGAAGGCAAAGAACTTTATTCGGTAATAACCAATATTTGCCCCGAAATCAAACTTTGGCGGAGCAATATTTAATAACGTTCTAAAACAGGGGAATGCATGCTGACTTCAAAGCACTGAATATTTTCATTGGCATTGACGTCATATGTTTGAAATGACGTCAGAAAATGACGTAAATTTAAAATTTCCATGATTTCTACAGAAAAATGTCAATAATGCGTCTATATTTTAATTAAAAATCACCAAGCGCAGGTCTGATTAGGCTCAATATTTTGACATGATGTGTAGAATGATAATTTCAATTAAATATGCAAATATTGTTACTGCGCAGACCTGCGCTCTATAAATTCTTTAGCTAAAATTGTTGGAATTTTGTCCATTTTGTCCTTTTTCTAAAAAAATAATGCAAAATCTAACTAGTTTGTTACGTCATAAAAACAAAAATTGTCAATGACCTACTTTGAGACTCTAATATGTTTTGTTAATTTATATTTTTCGTACAATTTATACAATTCAACACATTTTAAGAATTTTTCAGAATTTGTCCTTTGTGGGGGCAAAGACATGCAATATACCGAATATAGTTCTTTAGATAGAGAACCTGTTTTTTTTTTTTTTGTAATATAATCCTGCAAATTACATAAATTCTGTTTTTAATGAACGCTTTGGAGCTACATATCCTCACAAATAATGATTGACGAGAGAAATAAATTGGGGTGTTATGATTAATCTTAAACATTTTCCTAAGTTTCAACTATATGGCTTTAATGGATTTATTTAAAAAAAAAATTAAGCATTCTTTTCTTGAAATCAATTTTAAAAAAAGTGAAATTTAGTCCTGAAGCTCCTGACAATTTTTCTTCATTTTAATCACATTTTAGGGTTTTTCTCTTTGGTCACTTAAATCTTACGCTCCATAGAATTTTAAAGGCTAAGAATGTTGACTATAGTTACAAAGTATTATTAACATTAAATTCCTTTAAACACACAGTTGATAGATGGCGCAAATTATTCATAGGAGATAGGAGATGTGTGTGTTGTTGTTAAATAATCACGGATGGAGATTTTGTTGAGATCGATCAAGAATATGTTAACACTTTATCACTTTAAAGTAAATTGTTCCAAAATGAGATGTAAATATTTAATGTTTGTTTTATGTAATTGGTACATGTAAGTGTTAAAAACGGAAAAGTTATAACATACATTGTATATTGTTTTTTTTTTTTTTATTTTAGCTGTCGTAAAGTGTTCAAAGCTGAAAAAAGGACATAGAATATTTTTAACAAAGTTACACGTACCTTTCTTGCAATACACCCCTCTTTTTCCTGCCATACAACGATAACAATGACCTATTGAACTATTACACAGTCGGGTACCATCTGTGGTCCATTTACAAGTTTCACTGCAGGTTTCCCTACAGTTATATCCAAATGATGTTCCATTACACTCTGAAATGTATATTCGTAATATTTACTATTTTCAAAAAAGATAATTTACATGTAGTGTTATAACTTTAAGCAATGTTACTGCTTTTGTAAGGATGATTTATGAATGGAATTTTTTTTAAATTAAAGCAAAATGAATCTTCCATCCATCTATAAGCAAGGAATCTAAAAAGTACTGTAAAATTACCTGTAGTAAATCTTTTATTGTGAAATTACCTTCATCACATAGTCTTCCTGAGAATCCCCTTTCACATCCACTGACACAGGATCCAGTGACGTCATCACAACTGTCTTTATTTGGTTCTTCCCTACACTGTCCACATGTCTCGTTACAAAAGATACCGAACTTGTCTGGGCTGCATGCTAAAGGATAATTATCACATCACAAATACATAATATTAATGTAGCTTTGACATAACAATTACATATTTTGAAAGCTTCTCTTTTTCAAAATTGAGCTTCTCTCTCTGTCTTTCTCTCACTCTCTCGCTGACTCGAGCACACATACAAGCTTACTCTCTCACAAACACTCTCCACTTTGCATACACTTACATAGACATACTTTTTTATATCTTAAACCTTAACATATATTTATAATCATTTTGCTTTCACTTTGAAAAATTACAAAGAATCTGGATATATCAAAGTGTTATAAAAGACATGACTCTTAAGTAAGTCCTTTATTCGACATCTAATTACATTGATGAAAAGAGTAAAAACAGAATATAATCTTACCGTAACAATGACCTGTACTGATGTTACATCCCCCAACACACGATACAGAGCAATTCTTTTCACACTGGTACCCGTATGTTTGATTCGTACATTCTAAGGAAATGCAACTCAATAGAATCACAAATGTTGTATTTAACTGCAACTATATTACGTAATAGAATTTAACGAGCCTTTACAAAAATCTTTATCACAAAGCACGATTTTTCATCTCTTATTTTATGTTCTAAACAGATAAATATGTGTATTTTTCCGTGCAAAAATGGAAAATGTCCCATTGGCAGTGTCCATCATTTTGCTATAACTATTGTAACTGAATTTATAACAATTTTAATTAACAAATTATTGTTGATTATTTCTTCGGAAATCCCAAGAATCTTCGTCATATCTGTAAATTCGGTATATCCATTTTCCTGCAAAACAATATTTACTGTTTTATTAAGACCTCATTCTTTATTTATATCATTGTTTTAATGGTATATCTACGTATATACCTAAGCATATTCCATCTGTACCACAATCTGCACAAAACGTTCCAGGACATGGTATGCACTCTCCTCTCTTAATAAATTGTCCCCGATTACAACCTTTAATATAATTCAAAAATGGAATATTTGAAAAGAACATTATTTTCAACTTTAAAACCTAAACTAGTTCTAATAAAGTTAATGAAAACAACAATGTGGAAACGCTAATGAAACATTTTTAATTTTAAACCTAAACTATTCATATTTTTTTTTGCTTCTCACTCTCAAAATTTCTAAGAATGTGGAAATATCTGAGTGTTAAAAAAGACACGACTCTTAAGTAAGTCCTTTATTTGTCCCTTACATTCGACATCTAATTACATTTTTAAAAGAGTACAAAAGAATGTAATCTTACCGTAACATTGACCTGTACTGATGTTACATCCCCCAACACACGATTCAGAGCAATTCTTTTCACACTGGTACCCGTATGTTTTATTCGTACATTCTAAGGAAGTACCACAAACTTCACAAAACGTTTCAGGACAAGGTATGCATTCTCCTCCTTTAATGAATTGTCCTGGATTACAACCTGTAATATAAATACAGTGTTATTTTTAACAAAAAATTATCCATTTAGTAAAATAGATAATGATTAAAATGTTAACATTAATAAACATAAACATACTACCTGTGTATACATGAAGAATGGAAAAAGAACAGAAGGGTAACGTAATATACTAAAGTTCTTTTTAATTGCAGGACCAGAAATTACGAAAACTGGTCGGATAAAAATCACGGCTACTGTGCACTTAAATCAGTGTTCAGAATGACCCTAATTTGAAATGTACAATAAATGTCTTGCAATCTTGTAGCCGTTGACAGACTTCTATGGGGTCATGTATTTACATCGCCCCAGTATGGACAGAGTCAAAAACGGGATGCTTACGTGTAAGTTTTAACGTCTTACCAAACGTTAGAGAGGACCTTCAAGGATTTCAACGAACCGTGACGATGGCATTAAAGCGTAACAGGGCCACTTCAAAATCAGGTTATTTATTCTACCACCTGTTAAATGGCCATCTTACATCTAATAAACTGCTTTGAACAAACTAATTAACTGCTATCATACAGAAGGCTATCATAATCATTACATTCACTCTCTGTAAAAACTAAAAGAAACCTATTTGGTTTTTGAACTTGTCATTTTTACGTTATTGTTCTTGTTACTGGGGTCGTTTGTCTGATTTTATCGGCGTTACCACCCCCCCCCCCCCTGCGGCCCAATGTTGCCAGGGTTTGTCAATTTTTTTTTTCGCAAAGAATAAATTTACAAACTCGACTGGTCTCTGTAAAGTCCATCCTTTTCTCATTTCTTATCGGTGGGACTGCGTGGATAATAGGGTTCGATTTACTTAAGCCGGTCTCTTTCAACTAAGGGTTTCTTTGTTGAAAGGGTTGATTACTGAGAGATAAACATATTCTCCATGCAAAGGAGAATGAAATAAGTCTCTGGCAGGTGCAAAGAGACACTGTAGATAATAAGAAATTTCGATTGTCACTTTTTGAGGGTATCGTCAAAGGAGTGATTTCAATCACTCATAAATTATAAGGAAAAAATGAAATGAGAAATTAGTTACATGTTCATTGCATGTAAATTGATTTAAAACACAATAGGAATACTGGAAATACGTAAGGAAAAATAATTTTAGTTATCATCAAAAGTTCCGCCTGCATTTCATTTTTGTCGATTTTTGTCGATTTAAGCCTGAATGGAGTATTGTGTTTCTAAACCCGAAGAAAATAAAGTTCAAAATGAAGAAAAAAATAAAGAACTTACCAAAAATTTCTATCTCACAAATTTCAAGAATAGGACTCTCCTTTGGATTCCAAGTGTTGTTTTGGTAAACCGAAACATAACGTGCAGTACCTTTACAAACTTGCGATGCAATTCCATTCGGTTTATCGCTTATTGGGTCATCCTTGTAACATACATTCCATCGTTCCAGATCTAATTCACTGCGTACTTTCATGTGCAATTTGTCGGAGTAATAAAGAGTATATCCGTGAAGTCTTTGTTCATCTATTTGTAATTGGAAAGAAGCAAAGCAAATAATTAAAGCCCTGACCCGGAGTTTAAGAAAAAAATTTACATAGTACATAATGCATAATAGAGTTTTATAAAGAGACTTTTACGTTCAACAGCTGATTTTTACATTTAAGTAATTAGAGTTTGTCTCTCTTTAAACTGTAGAAGTCAGTCGTCGATTGTAAAAGTACATGTAAGTCTCTTCATAAAACTCCATTAATAGTACATTACATAATTATGTAACTGAAGTTTGTTAGTTTGTACAAACTTTATGCATATATGTTAAATGGTGTCAATGAAAGTTACGAATTCAATTCAAAGCACAAAACTTCAAGGTATGAGGATGTCTTTTACTCACAATTTTCTCTATAGTAAATCGTGACGTTATAGATGTTAGCAATATATCCAATATCAACATATACATAAGTTGAGTTTTTATTTTTTGGATTCGATTGTGTACAGTTTTCTATCTTCTGACTTCGATTGCCGTCAACTGCTCTGTTTTCCTTCCTTTTATATCCATAATAACCAGACTCCATGTGAACCGTTTTATTTAGAGCAATATTATCTAAAGAAAAATACAAAAAATTAAAATCAATGCAGGGTAGACGTAAAAAAGAACACTTTTGTAATTATATAATTATAACTTACCTAAACCTCCACATCCATTAGATATCAGTGGAAAAATAACACAAAATAAATCAATAAAATTAAACATATTTATAAAATATTCGGACTGCATATGTGTCTATAAGTTTGCAGATTTCATACATGTTCATTTTGGATCAAAATTTAGAAGGAAGTTAAAAGTTCCCCACGTTAGCTACGACGTCATGATCTTCAAAACAATTTAACTGTTCTTCAGAAATTTAAGTTTAGAAGATAAAATCTTCAATAAAAAAAGATAGCAAAAAATGTGGCAAGGAGAAATTGATATACTTTTAATAACATATAGCTTCATTATTATTGGAGCTTGATCATACATAATAAGACAAATATATCTGTTAATATAATATAAGGTGTAAAAAGCTTACAGGAATGCCTTACATTGTATTTTTCTGTCAGTTTATGAGAGTGGAAAAAAGAAGAATTTTCTTAAAACTTTTATTTAGAATATAAAGTTATTTGATGCATTTATCATAATCAAGGACTGAAATTAATGCTCTTGAAAGGTAGAATATATTGAAACACAATTACTACACGTCGTGGAGTGATATCTTCTAAACAATCACCGGGGAGGGTGATAAATACTGGATCTCTATGTTCGTTTGAGTATGGAGTTTTGTATTTTTTTGGTTAGAAACATTCTGTTTTTATGGATTAATTACTTTTTTTTTAAAGATTTCGTTTCTAAATATGATACCTATACGTATCTTACACCGAACAGCGATCCTTAAAACAGCAAATCGTTTATAACTAATAAAAAGTATCTAATTATATGAAGTTTTTTTTGTTGGTAGTAGCATTGTACAAAACTTTAAATGGAAGTGTTTCTGGTAGAAGAAGCATGTGAAACTGACTCATATGTACTTATAGTAATAAGGAAGTACTAATTCAATCCCGTTGATTAAAATTTTTTTTTTGCTACTAAGTACATGTAGATTGTACTTATTTTGAATGGGACTGTAAAAGAGCTTGTATTTTCGGCATTTTAAAATCTCACTGTAATTAAAGGGTAAATTTTGACTGATTATTAATAAAATTGTCGTGTATGTTTTTTTTAACAAATATTTTTAATAGACTGTTTAGTAGTAAAAATGAAGAATTTTTTTTCTCGTATTGATGTTTAAATTATATAAGCAAAGGCTGCGCACTTACATGAAGACAATATTATTGAGAGTAACTCTTGTACATATTTGCACAATTCTAACTTTCGCTAAAGTGGGATCAGGTGCCATGGAGGAGTGAGCATCCCCTGCTGACCGGTCACACCCGCCATGTGTTTATGATCGGGAAATAAAGGACCATTCATTGTGTTAATAATGGACTAACCATTCGAAACAAAACATCAGTCTGCATTTGACTCAATGATTAAAAAAAAACGACAGAGGTATATACGAGGGGTTACTAGTATCTAAAAGATAGTGGACTGAGGCTGTAAAAATAGTACTACTTATTCTGCGCTTTAAAATTTTAAACGAACATAAAAATATTGAAATGTTTGGCTTGATATGTTTATTATTCGCAAAATTAGTATAAATTTAAAACGGTATTAAACATTGACCCAGCGCAGTCGCCGTTTAGTTTCTTGACGTCTGACAACGTTATTGTTTATCAATGTCGGCTTATCTGTCTCATACACATTTTGATGAGATTCCCTGGAGTTGAGTAAGGACTTAAACCGGTATTGTTGATATAATTTTACAATGTCATGAACAGCGACTTTCAATGCATATTATATTGCAAAGGAATTTGTAAATTGGAAGAGTTCATCGCTTGATTTTGCCAGCATATTGTGCTTTTTGGCGTTCAATAGGTACAACACATGATCACGCGTAATTTTTTGACGTAATTGATTTTTCGCATTTTGATTAAAATCGATATTAACGGTGGATCCCATTTCTCTCTGAATCTCTTTTGGCATTAAAACTAGTACTCCGGGTTCATTTTATTTCTCCGTAGCCAGTTTAAACATTACCTATTTCGATTGCGGTGCCTGGACACACCAATGCTTACAAAACATTTT